GGGGTGGGGCCCTCCCCACGGAGCAAGGAGTCAAGGTTGTGGGGAGTCGTGTCTGCAAGGTACAACTTTCAGACCACCTGCCGTGGACTGCCCGTGTGGTCCAGCAGGGGAGCAGGGTGACGCTGCCCCGGTGGCGGCCACACGCCCCTGCAGGGGTGACAGCGCACAGCTGTGTATGGGCACGCCCTCAGACACATCTCAGGCTGTGGGGCTCCTGTGCCCAGAGGCCTCCCAATGAGCTTGGTCTCCCCACAGAAACCCCACCCGACAACTAACACGGTGAGACAGCTTCCTGTTCAGACTCGGACATGCCTCCCACAGAGGTGGGGGCAGCTGGCCTGACGACACGTGTGCACCAGACAGCAGTGGACTCCAGGGCCACCTCGCCCAGCCAGAGGCCCGCCCTGCGTGGCCCAGTGGGTACCTGGGTGTCGTCCACCACAGGGAATCCATTGTGGTTGGAAGTCGTGTCACTGAGGACATCCACAATGACGCCGACCTTCTCTGTCCTCCTCAGGCAGGTGACGGGCGTGCTCATCACCTCCCTGCCAGGATAACAGCCCCACTGGCCGCAGCACCGCTGCGCCACCACCACCCCGGCCACCACCTGCCCGTGGGGCACGCCGACAGCCCCTCCTCCCACCCTAGCTGATGGGGACCACCTGGGGCCATGGCCACCCTGCTTTTCAGGCCTGACCCCGCGCTGGGGAGGTGCAGCCGGATACAGAAAACAGGGACCCTCCGCCCGAGTGCCAACCCCACCTCCACCCAGTCCGCTGAGTGCAGGGGGCCACGTGCTGGAGAGCAGAGCAGTGGCCCCTGGTCTGCGGCATGACGGCATGGAGGCTGGGGGTGGGTACCTGGCTGTCAGCGAGTGTGACGTCACCGGGGCCTCCCAGTGGAGGAAGGGGACGCTTTGCAGCTGGATGTGCATGTCATACAGGCCCTGAGGGGAGACGGCGCGTCCGTCACTGAGGGGGGCGGGGACGCCGTGTCCACCCCCGAAGGGGGCGGGGAGAGGGACGGGGCCTCTGTGTCCACCACTGGGGGAGTCAGGGAGGCCTGTGTGTGGCCCCAGGTCCCCATCCAGGCCCCCATCCATCCCTACAAAGACCACAGCCTCCCCCAGAAGCTCAGTGAGTCACCACTCTGAAACCAGACGTTGTTCTGGGGAAGGGGGTCAAGTGTCTGCCCTCTCTCCAGGGACGGGGATGTCAGCAGTGTGTCTGGTCCCTGGGGACAGCCTCAAGGCCACACTTCTCTGTCAACAATGTCTTCAACCCCTCCTGGGATGAAGGTTCAACAATGTCTGTGTCCCCCTCTGGGAAAAGGGGTGGTCAATACTGTGTGCCCTCCCCCAGGGACGGGAGTGTCAACAGTGTAAGGGGGTCAAGTGTCTGCCCTCTCTCCAGGGACGGGGATGTCAGCAGTGTGTCTGGTCCCTGGGGACAGCCTCAAGGCCACACTTCTCTGTCAACAATGTCTTCGCCCCCCTCCTGGGACGAAGGTTCAACAACGTCTGTGTCCCCCTCTGGGAACAGGGGTGGTCAATACTGTGTGCCCTCCCCCAGGGACGGGAGTGTCAACAGTGTCCCTGCCCCACCCCAGGATGGGCCGAGGCCACACCTCGATGAAGACGTCACCCACGATCTTGGCTGTCATGAGCACCAGCATGATGGGGAAGCCGTAGGTGACGTTGCTGGTAGCCTCCATCATGATGACCGTCAGGCTCAGTGTCATCCGAACGATGCCGCCTGCGGGGGGCAGGGGATGGTGGGAGGCCCCAGCGGGCAGGCCCTGGGGCTGGCCCTTCCCGCAGACAGCTCCGCCCCCTCCACCCGCAGACAGCCCCGCCCCCTCCACCTCTGGCTGTGCCTGGCCCTCGCTCCTCCCTGGGGCCGCCCTTCCTGCAGACAGCCCCGCCCCCTCCACCTCTGGCTGCGCCTGGCCCTCGCTCCTCCCTGGGGCCCCGATGAAGCAGGGTGGAGGCAGCTCAGCTTGGGCCCCACTAAGTCCCTGGGTCACAGGTCAGGACCAGACACGAAGCCTCAGGGCCGGGTTTCTCCATTTCTGTGCAGGGCCCAGCCACCCCGCCGCCATCCAGACCCACCCGGCTGGACACCAGGGCTCACCGAGCTGGGCAGCGGCTCCCATGAGTGCATACTTGCCCGGGTCCGCCCAGATCTGCAGGGACAGCCGAGGCTGGAGTCAGCGGGTGCAGGTCTCCCCACCCAGGCACTGACCACACCGCTCACACGTGCATGACACTCAGGGTGACCCACCTGCTCTCTACCTCCACACCACGCCCCACCTGGGACCCCCACTGCCCCTCATGTCCTACACCACCAGCTCCATCCTCCCACTCGGCCCTTCACCCACCCGCCCTACTCACCCGCCTTCTGCCCCACCCTCACGTCCCCCGCCTCACCGCGGCGCCCGTGAGGTAGGACAGGGAAATGCCAAAGAGGCGGCCCCAGGCAGCACCGATGAGCAGGGACGGGATGAAGACGCCGGCGGACACCGTCAGTCCGTAGGTCCAGCAGGCCAGGAAGAAGTAGACCAGGGTGAAGAGGCCGAGGGTCAGGGGGTCGTAGGAGCCTGGGGGAGAGGAGGCTGACCCAGGCCCAGGCCGCACCCAGCAGTCTGCCCCCAGCCACTCCCCCACCCGCCCTGGGCCAGGTACCACCCACGCCCTCTTGCCCCACTGGGAGGAGGCGTCCATGGTCACACCGGACCAGGCGCTGGGTCACACACCTGGCGGGTCGTGGAAGAGGCTGACCACACTCTTCTCCGGGGTGTTGAAGAAGGCTGCAGCCATGGAGTTGTACTCGCCGTCTGCACAGAAAAGCTGGCGGTGGGGGAAGCCAGTGAGTGACAGAGTGGGCGGGGCTGGGTGTCACCCTACTGGGGTGGGTCCGCCTGCTGGTGCCGGCCACTGGGGAGAGGGGCTCTCTTTGGTCTGGCAGTTAGCCTTGCGGCCAGTAGGCCCAGCCAGCCTGGCAGGGAGCAGCCTCGAACCCTGGACCACCAAAGTGCAGAGGCTTCCCTGGATCTACAGTGTCCTGGCATCCGTCCGCCCCCATATCTCTGCCGGCTGGGAAACAGCTTCTCTCATCTCAAGGGGCTCAAGACACAGCCTGCCCTGATCCTGCCTCGTTAATGAGAGATGGCCCACGCCCCAGTGGGACTGCCCCATAGGCACAGAGGTCAGGATTTATGTACATATTCTGGCAGCACCTCCGTGGGGACACGGCAGTGCCAACAGAAAGCCAGGAAATCTATACTTCTGTCCCTGCAGGTCCCTGTGGAGAATGGTTCATGTAAACAGCATCACGCAATATGCAGCCTTTAGCACCTGGCTTCCTTCACTCGAGGAGCCCTGCTGACAGCAGTGAAGGGCTCAGTGACTAGAGACAGGTGGGCAACCTGAACCCACCAGTTGCTCTTCAGGAAAAACACCTAGTGATCCGCTCCCATAGACTGACAGCCTTGGAGACCCCGTGGTGCAGTTCCACTCTGTCCTCTAGGGGCGCTGTGGGTCAGAATGGACTCCAGGCAGTGGGTGTGGTTTGGACTTTGCTTCTGTGAAGACTGACAGCCT